CGACGGCTTCGTCAGCACTACGTCTTCTTATAGTAAAATACAGGAACAAACCTCTATGTAGCTCTTCCAACTACCAGTGCTTTACGATATACGATGCAACTTCCTAAAATCACCCAAGTGATGGGAAATGTCCAACAGATGGTTCACTATGGTCCCCACTTCGGAACAATTGCCTAAGAAGGTCAATAAGTGGTACTAATTTTCAAGATGGCTTTCGTCATAAGGTAAGGTCATCTATGGATAAAAATTAGGATTCCGTACGGACAACAATCTCCAGCGGATGTCACACTGAGAATTTTTCCATTACTCATCCCATGTGGGAAAAATGCACTCTAAACTCTCGGCAGACTGGAAAGATTCCAAATATACATATAGATCTTTGAGCTAATAGCGCCTGTGAAAGCGCCATGAAATTCTTCCGTAGATGAAAATTGAACTGAGTACAGCAATGGCAGAATATGCTCGTGCCAACCTCAACGGAAGAAACATTCGCCAAAAACTATTGGACGTCCTTCTTTTGAGCATGATGAACAGATAATAAAGATCCAATCCCGTGATGACCCACTGCTGTGCAAACGGTGCTATGTGGGGAGCGTTCTCTTAATCAATGATGGAAACAAATCTTTGATACAAGTATTTCTACACAAAGGTGTTGGATAGAATTGTTAGCTACTTGGTGATTGGAGTAGATCTTCTCTAAACAAAAAAGTCAACCCTCAATAGTGAACAACCAGGATTAAAGGAGCACGCCCTCGCCTATCTCCTGGTGACTTTAGGCTTGTTAACCTTACTCATACTCCTGCTGAGGTGATGGAAACGATCATTTTTCATAAAATGCTGGTTAGATTTGAGAGAATTCACCTTATTCCAGTCGAACGGCATGGATTCCTATCTGGAGCTAATATCTGCACTACTTATTGACACCTTGTATGTTGTCTGTAAGTCTATAATCTGATGGGGGAAGCCTGTTGGATGCGTCATCCGTATATGATCTTCGGACGCCTTGATATGCCGGTCACTCCCAACTGATCTTCAAATCAGGGATCCAGTGCTGTATTTCGTGAGGACGCTTACTTCGGCTGAGGCCATATTCAGTGGCAGGCGACATAACTCGAGTTGTGCGGGGACCGGCTCCAACGCATATTTTGCTAAGGGTGGAGTGCTTTCTCCTGCACTTTTCTTGATTTGCTTCACAGAGCTACCTCAGCTTCTTAAAGCACGTTGTGATTTAGAGGTTTAAGTATACGCAGACCATATCCAAGTATATGCTGCCTATGACGATAAGAACAATGAATCATACAGCAAGCTTAGGTTCATTTAAAGCGAGGGATTACGATAAGTTTGGACTGGGTTCATAGTGGAAGTGGAGATGCTGAATAATGCCCCAGTGGCGAAAAAAGCAAAGAAATCCGTCAAGAAGGCGCAAAATGGGACCCCTTTCTTTGCCCGTTGACCTCCGATAATGGACGAGCTAGCAACCAATTAGGAGGTCGTTTGCACATGTTATGCTGATAGCCTCTATCATTTCAGCAAGCATCATGCTTTGATTGATCACGCATCCCATGAAAAGTTATAGGATACTCTGGAAGTGGAATATCTCGTCACATTGGCAATCGAAGGGCGCTGCTGCTGGGGGCGGAGCACAGACCGTGGCGGGGCTCAGAAAGGAATGGCAAGCCTTGTACGCTGCAACTAGCGCACCTTTGACCACAAAAACGCAACATTTCGTTTCCTTGGGCCCCTGACTACTGCTTCCAATGGTGCATGTACTTCCACGCTGCATACGCACTTTATCGTAATCTCTCGCTTTAAAGAAATGAGTGAATGGGCGGCTTCCTGGGATATCCCTCTTAACCTGAATAAGTGTTTGACCATGCATTTTGGGGATGCTGCTGGAATTGAGTATGTTGTTGATGGTGTCACTCTACAGCGATCTCAATGTGTTAAGGATCTCGGAGTGATCTTTCATTCCAATATAAAATTTTCTCTTCATAATTTTAATGAGAAAGACTCAGTGTTTAGATCCTTCCGTATTGCTGCGCCTTTACAAAACATATGTATAGCCGCATCTTGAGTACTGCTCGCAGTTGTGGAGCCCCTCTGTTATATATTCCAAAGATTGAAAAGCTTCATCATGTGATTGCGCTGTTTCTCTGGCATAGGTTGCGATCGGGTACCCGACAGGAGGCCCGTCGCGCGGCAAGAAGGCAGAGTCAGCGGACGAGTCGCAGCGCGTACTGTATTTCGCGTCAAGTTAAATAGAATGTCCACTGCACGTCCTACATCGCACATCACGCGCTGCGACTCGTCCGCCGACTGCCTTCTTGCCGCGCGATGGGCCTCCTGTCGGGTACCCGTCACTGTCTAGTACTTCTTGGCTTGGTATCCCCTCGTACAGCACTCCACTAAAGTTGTTTTCGCTTCATACTCTGCAATGCAGACGAGTAATGCTGAACTTGTTGC